AGTATTTCAAGGTTTTAAAAATGCTTTCTTCACAATTGACCTGTCAAGTAAATAGTGCAGATGTTGTTACTTCTATTTTATAAATGAGCAAACTGAGGCTGAAAGCTTATTGACTTACTCAGGAGTTAGAGGCAACAAGGACAAGTCATAATTCATATACAGGTTTCCTAACTCCAAATCCGAATATTTCCATGATACCACAATGTCATGCAAATGTCAGATATGCTGCTGCTGCTGTGGGTTTCTGACTGAACAGTCAGTGGAGGGTGTGAAAAGAGGGGCAGCTCCAACTCAGGATTCACCTCAATGAAAAGTCATTCAGTACCTACTCCTAGGCATTGTGAGAGGCACTGGGGATGCAAAATCAGTTTCTGTACTCAAGAAGTTGGCATTCTACTGCGAGATACAACATGCAGACAACTAGGTAATCTAAACCAATTACTGGGGAGCAAGGAGGGGGAATGAGGAAGGACTTTACTTTGGACACGGTACCTGAGCTGGGAAGTGAGGGACTCAAAGAGACAAAAGCATGGCAACAATGCATTGTAGAAGGGGAAGATGGCCAAGCAAAGGTATGGGAACAGGAATGGAATGATGAGTCTGAGAAAGAGCTACCACGCCAGGTAAGTTGGAATAAGGTTGGCTGATGGCAAACATTCTAAAATATCTCGATAGGTTAGTGGGAGTCAAGCTGTGAAGGCTTTAAATGCCAAGCTGATATTTATGGGTTTTAAATGCCAGGGGAGATATTTATCCTAGAGACACTTACTAGCTGCGACGCTGGGCAAATCATTTAACCCTGTTTGCCTCAGTTCCACATCTGTAAAATGAGCTGGAGAAGGAAATGGCAAACCACCCAGTATCTCTGCCAAGAAAACCCCAAATGAGATCACAGAGTTGGACACGATTGAAACAGCTCAACAATAATGGAGAACCCTTGAACATTTTGATAGGCGAAGTGACATGGTGAAACCTGTCTCAGGAATATTAATTTGGCAGCTCTGTGGAGGAAGACAGCTGGGAAAGGGAAGAAACAAGATGAAGGGATACTAGTGAGGTTTTTGCAAGTGAGAGGTGATGAGGGCCTGAACTAGGGAGAGGATGGATGTGGTTAAATTGACAAGATTTGGCAAATTATTGGATTTGGGGGACAAAGGAAAGGAAGGAGTGAAGGGTGACTTTGAGGTTGCAAACCTGGGTGACTGGATAGTGGTGCCCTCAAAAGAAACATCAAAGTATAGAAGAGATATGGGGGATGAGGGAAAAGTTCTATTAGGATATGTTAAGCGTTGATGGGGAGATAACCTGATAGAGATGCCAAGCAGCTGGCAACTGCAAAGTGGGACTGGAACTGAGGAAAGAAATTAGGGCGGAAGATAAGAGATTTGGGAGTTGTAGTATGGAGGTGACAACTCATAGAAACTGATCAAAAGGAAATATAGGGACAAGATGGCCCAGAACATAGCACCGAGGGACATCTATGGGCAACATAGGTGGGGGAGCCAGTCAGAGACAAGGTAAGAAATTATGGAAAGACCATACATAGACCAAGCCCTCTCCCCACCTCCCCTTGCTCCAACTGTCAAGTGAGAAACATAAGCATCACAATAATAATGATGTAATTATGGATGTCAACACCAAATTTAAAGGTTTCTAGACTGAATTCTGTCTGCTCAGGAAGAGATCATTTATAACACTGTTTCACTGACTTCATATTTTCACAGAAATAATTAAGAACATTGGGAAAAGGGAGAGGTAATGCTTGTACTGTACTCAAGGTACAGAAAGTGGCCCATTATAACCTACTATTCTTGGAAATAACTGAATCCTGGGAAGCTTATGGCAGAAAAGTTTGAGCAGAAGAGAAGACAGTCAATTGAACAAACATTCACTAAGCCCCTACTGTTTACAGCACCTAATGGTGCTAAGCAGGGGTGGGGGAAATACAAAATTTAGATAAGAAATAATTCCTGCCTTCACAGAGTTTAGTTTAATGAGGGCTCAGACATATGCACATAAAACCACCAAATGAAACAACACCTGGTACAAGCAGAGCTCTATGGGAGGCCTGAGAGGAGACCATTACTGGCTGGGCAATCCATAAGGCTTCCCAGAGGTTCATCTACGCAATTAAGTTTTAGAGGATGCATAGGTTTCATTGGGGGGGGGAGGTTAGGTTACAGAGAAAGGCATTCTAGGATTTGGGAATAATGCACAAAACAGCATGGAGGTGGGAAAGAGTATGGAGGAGGCTTAAGGCTAGAAAAGTAAAGAAGGCTCTCACCTAGTTGGCTAATAAGTGTGAACTTGAGTTAATAGGTAATAGTGACTCACTGGTTCTGAGCTGAGAGTAATATGATCAGCCCTATTACAAAGATCAGTCTGGCAGCAGTGTGAAGCATGAATTGGAGGGCAGAGAGTAGAGAAAGAGCTCTTTAGGAGGGGAGGCACCTGCCTGAAGTGGTAATGAAGCTTTGGATTGGGGCTAGGGCAGTGGAAGGGTGGAAGGGAAGGACAGACTCATAGACAGACGGATGGATAAGAAAAGGGAGAACGGGCAGGAATCGGCCATTGTCTTTGAGGGGTGAGGATGAGGAAAAAGTTAAAGATGAGGCCTGGTTCTGGAGCATGACCGTGGCACTGACAAATTTTTTAAACATTAGACAGAGGAGCAGGTTTGGTGGGAGACGTTAAGTTCGTTTTTTGGACATACTGACACAGAGGTGCTTGTGGGACGACCAGGGACAGAGGGACAGAATTCAATGGCTGGAAATGTGGAAAGGAACTTTCAAAGAGTTAGGGCTGGAGAAATTGATTTGGGAAACACCCCCAAGGTGTCGATAGTTGGGGGGGGGCGGAGTGAATGAGATAAGAGGGTCCAAGATCAATTCTTAGGAATAACCTGCAATAGAGGTGAGGGTGGGGCAAAGAGGCCAGCAGTCATAGGACCAGGAGAACATAGCATTCCAGAAACTATGGAGAGATAGTGGAAGAACTTACAGAAGAGATCTCAGGTTCCTTGGCCTTGCAATTTGCTGGCAAGGTCTACGTTTATTATCAGGCATGAATAATAAGAACACAATATAAACCATTAACGACCTAATTTGAGTTTAGGTATAAAGAAAGCAGTAACAATTCACATTTATATACTGTAGTTCTTGACATTTGTGAAGAGCTTTCTTTCTCACCGTCTTGGGTGGAAGGTAGTACCGGAATTATCACCATCTTTTTGCAGATGCACAAACTGCGGCTCACAGCTAAGTGACCACCTAGTCCCACACTCAAACCAGAGAGCACAAACGTAAGCCACGCCTGGAAGGAGGGAGTGGGGTCCTCTCTCGCTTCCTTCCTCTGCTTCTCCCCGGTACCAGCACACGGGAGCAGGGTGTTTCAGAGCCTATTCTCACTGATGTATAGAACATGCAAACAGGCCTAGGAAGAACAGGCACCCAAAAGGTTGCAAAAATAGATATGCATTTTAAGAAGATGCAGACAAAAAATAGCAAAGAGAAAAATCAATTTTAAAATCCCAGCTAATTTAAAGAAAGAAAACCAGATTTTGCTCTTCTGGGCCAATGGGGTAGACCTGAAAATCTTCGAGGCCCCTTAAACTCTAAACCGAATTGAAGGGCCTCCGTCGGGGTTTAAAGCCAAAACCTTGTCCCCCAAGCCAGCCAACAGCTCACAGTGTGAAGGGCTCACCGAGGCTCAATTCAATTATTAAGCTCCAACAAGTCAGCCTGCCCTCGGTGTTCGATGGGATTATAAAGACATGACCTTGGGTGGGTCACTGCCCTCTCCGGGCCTCAGTTTCTCCCCTCCGTAAAATGGGTAGGGGTGCGCTGGATGAATAACGTGCACCCCACGTCTGCAGACCTTAAGAGCCACATAAATGCCGGCTGGGAGGGGCCTTCCTGAGGCTCTGACCATGGCTAGCATGAGCGGGGCGCCCACGGGCGACCTTTGATTCTTTTCACAGACAAGGAAAACAGAGCCCTAAGGATTTTGGGAGGGGCGAAGTGTTCAGTGCAGGGTCACAGACGGCCTGGGCTCCCCGGGGAGGGGGGGGTAAATCCCCTCCGCTATCCTGCGGTGAGCAAGGGTGCCGGGGCCACGATGCTGCTCCGAGCTCGGCAACCGTCCGGAGCAACGCGCGCTCGCGGACGGGGAAAGGGCAGGCTGCGCGCGCCGCCGAGAGCCGCCCCGCCCCCTCGGCACGTGGGCAGTAAAACCTGCCGTTAGTAGGACCCACGCGCTCCCTACCGGCGAGCGCTCCGCGCCTGCGCACCTTCCCCTTGCTCCCCTTCCCCTCTCCATCGCGTGGTGCTGAAGGCGGGCTGCACGAAGTGGGTTAAATGTCACGCCGCCTTGCGCGTTGGGCCCTTCCCCCGTGCCTTCCTACTGCGGAGGCTCCGCGCTCCCGCGCCCCCGCGTCCCCCAGCATTCGCTCCCGGTTCGGGCAGAGACAGAGCGGTGGCCGAAAGCGCTTCCGCTTTCCCAGGCAGACCCACGTGCGAAGCTGCGTCTTTTCGGTGACAATGAGAGTGTAGCCGCGCAGTCCAGGACGACTGAGGCGGCGGGAGCGACCTGCAGCCCCGCCCCCCGCCTCCTTGGCGGGATCCCATTCCCCATTGGCTACGGCGGCGGGCTAGTGCCCGCCCCGTGACGGACCTGTCGCTCTCTAACAGGTCGAGGGGCGAGTTCCTGTCGCGACGTGGGGCGGGGCTTGGGCTGCCTGCGCTCCGCCCCCACCCTGGCGGGAGGGGGTTGGCGCGTGCGTGTGAAGGGAGAGGGGGTGGTCCTTGCAGCCCGAGCGCGCCTCCACTTCCTCGTCCGGGCCCTGGCGGCGCGGCCGTGCTCGCTCCCGCTCCGGCTCCAGCACTGCCCGGCTCGGCAGCCCGGAGCCTCCCGGGGCCGCGCGCGCGCGCCCCCGCGCCGGAGCTCCGCCCCCTCGGCCTCGCTGCCGGCCTTCCCCTTCCTCCCGGGCGGCCCCGCCCAGCGAGCGCCCCACACATCAGGCGGCGGCGGCTCCGGCGGCGGCGGCGGCTGCGAGCGAGACCCGCCGCCGGGCGACAACATGGCGGAGCCCTCGGCGCTGGAGAGCAAGCCCAAGGCGGCGGCGGGCGGCGGCGGCGGCGGCGGGCGGGCCGGCTCCAAGGCGGGCGGGCCGGGGCCGGGCCCCGCGCCGCTGGCGGGCGGGCTGTCGCAGCCGGCCGGCTGGCAGTCGCTGCTCTCCTTCACCATCCTCTTCCTGGCCTGGCTGGCCGGCTTTAGCTCGCGCCTCTTCGCCGTGATCCGCTTCGAGAGCATCATCCACGAGTTCGACCCCTGGTGAGCGGGCGGCCGCGCGTGGGGCGGGGGCGAGGGCGCGCGTGGGGCGGCCGCCACCCCCCCCGGGCCTGCCGCAGAGGAGGACGACCCCGAGGCTCCGAGAAGTCCCCGCGAGCCCCGGCCCCCCGCCCCTCCCCCGCCGCCAACTTTGCTTGTCCCCCCCCGCGGGGGCGGCGGCGGGGGGTCCAGGGGCGGGGGGCTGGCCCCTTTCTGTGGCAGCTCGAGGGGGGCCTCTGGCTGTGCTGTCCCCACTTGGCCCGGGACCTCTGTTGGCAGGGGAGGAGGGGGAAAGTGACGACCCTGAAAGTAACCAGCCTCCTCCCCCCGGCTCGGAGGGGTGCGGAGCGCTGGGGGGGGGCACGGGCCGAGCTGTCCCCCCCCAGAAGCCAGAGCGGCGTTGTGGGGGGCGGACGGGCAGCGGGACGCCCCGCGGACACTGCCGGGCAGGGACCCTTCCCTAGAGCCGGTCCGCACCTGCTCTGCCCCCGAGGCTGCGGCTCGGACCCGGGGCGAGGGGCGGCTCTGGGCCCGGTGCCCATCGGGCCGAGAAGCGGTGCGCCCCCCCGCCCCGGCGCTTCCCGAAGTCGGGGGGCCCGGACCGGCTCGGACGGCCCCCCCCCCCGCAGCCGGGCTGTCCAGCCGCTGTGGCCCGAGCGTGGGGGCTCCGGGCGGGGGGCGCACCTGTTGCCCCCCCCCACTCAGCGTTCAGAAGGTGAGGGACGTAGAGAGTGTTGGGGAGTGGGCTCCGGGGGAGGTGGGAGCCTTTCTGCCCGCCCCCGGCCAGCACCCTTCGGGGCCGACGATCCTCGACTTTTGGGAGTGGGCTGCGTTCCCAGCGACCCTCGTGCGCCTCTCCCCGGCCCCCAGCGGGGACCTCCAAACACTCGGAGATTCCGCGGCTTCGGGCTCGGCTGTCGGCGCACCGCGCCGAGCTGCCGGGCTTCTCCCTCCTTGCCCGCTCTCGCCCTCGCTAGAATAAGTTTACCATTGGGAGTGTTTTTGGAGTTGATTTATCTCCTTTGTCCTCATGTGTTTTTACGTTTTTCCTTAGATTTTAGACAAAGATGCAGGTCTTAAGTTTTGGAAGAATTAAATGAACAGACATTCATTGCTGTAATTTTCTGGTGGTTTTTTTAGTATGTCAAAATGCTCATTTTGTACGTTGCTTTCTTGCCAGCGCAGACAAGGGTTACGTCTAGTGCATTTGATGTTGAGTGCGTGTGTCTATAGATTGTAAATGCAGCGTGCAATATTGTTTTTCCGTTCCTTTCTGTGACTTAGAGTTGTGGTTTTCAATTATTGATAGTGACAGAGAAGTAGGTTGTGGAGAAAATACTCTCAGTACTTGCTAAACGTTTGCATTTCGTCGCCCAACCAGTTTAGCAGCACTCCTTTACGTTGATTTTTTTTTCTGGGGAAATTCTTTTTACTTATTTTGAGATGATTGTCGATAAAAATTCACTTGGGTTTACACAGCAATTTAATTTTTGTGTAGGACTTTACATATGCTTATTTCATTAAAGCCTCACTCTGACTCTCAAGTATTTGCTATTATTAGCCGTCTCCACTTTGCAAGTTGAGGGAATTTTAGGTATTTGCCTAGGGCCACACAGCTAGTGTTTGAGGCAGGATTTGAACCCAAGCCTTCCTTATTCCGAGTCCAACTCTGTGAAGGCCATGACACGCTACACCCCATTATCACCTTTCGTAACTTCTCTTGAAGTTGGTAGTAGTGAATGATTTTCCTCTGAGTTATTGACGCTCAACATCCTGTAGGTTACAGAGGGAGTAGAATTCTTCCTGAGATCCCTCAGCTGTTTGGGGGCCATGCTCCATGTTTCCTGAGGGTTTAGCAGGCTTTTTGTAGATGTCCCGGCAGCCCGATCACTATGTATAACGTTTGTTTCTGTGGGAACATGAAATCTGATTTGTTGACACAAGAAGGAAAATTTTGAAACCCATTGGGAGCTGCTTCTTATAGATGAAGCCCCTGATGCCACTGGTGGGCTTCTGGGCACCCTGAGCTGAGTCAGAACAAGAATTGGAACTCGAGTCGCTTGGAGTTTATAGATTTTTCTATCAACAGCTGCATGAGGAATTGGGGATTGAGGTCACTGACCCTGAAAACACTGCTGGAACAGATTTTCCAGCGGGAAGCACTAAAACCGAAGGGGCCTGGGATTATACCCAGCTCGTTTTAGCTAGAGAGCTCCTCAGTGGGGGGGGGGGATGGTGTCAGGAGGCCCAGTTCACTACTGTTACTTGTCTACTACCAGAATACCAAGGAGCTCCCAGGGCATCCTGGGAAAGCGTCAGATTTCCAGAGTTAGCATGGGCTGGGAACATAGAGGTGGATGTGGGTGTTGGGAGTATGTTTCCTGTTGGTCCTAAAACAGCCTCAGTGAGGTTCTAGAATCGGGGTCCAGGAACTGGGCTGTTTTATTTTTTACATATCGATAGCTCAGTACTGGTTTCCGTTGTAATCCTGCATATATTTTGCGTTTAAGAATAGTATTCTGGCTTCACCAAGACCACCAGAGACACCCCAGAGGTAAAGATCCCCTGCTTTAGATGGTCCTGGCACTCCTCTATGGGGAAGATAAAGATAGTCTCTGCTTCTTTCTTTATCCAGGTGCTTTGATGGAGTGGTGCAGTTATCTGAACTCCCCTGTCATAGAGAAGAGACCTTGTCAATGTGTTGTCAGCCTCCTGGAATTTGAGCGTGTGTTAAAATCTCCTTCATGGTCGTAGCGAGTAGAAATAGCTGAATATTGAGATGATGTTAACTAATTGGATAAATTATACTCCTTTATGGTTCTTTCCCAATATTCTTAATAAGCATTAAGTGCCTACTGTGTGCAAGACTCTTGGTTCTGATGACACAAAAAGAAACTGGAAAACAATCTCTGTTCTGCTGGGAGATACAGAGAGCATTGCAGAGCGTTAGCCACGCTGGCCTGAGGCAGGGCTCCCTTCAGGAGGAGGCGGTGGCAGCCTGAGCTGATCCTGGGAGGAAGCTTAAGAATCCAGAGGAGTTTTATTTTTGCCTCGGTGAAGTCCCTTCACATGGTTTGTTTAACAACGTAGGGGTTTGGGTTAAGAAAGCAACAGCTTCAGTTATGAAGCACCTTGCTGTACCAAACTGAGATTTTACTGCCACTTCAATTGGGCGACTTAGGAATCTAGTTTCCCCAAAGAGCTTAAGCTTTCTCTTGAAGTTAGTGTGACCTGCTGTTTACTGTGTTACATTGAGCCAGTTACCAAAAAAAGAATTAGAGCAGTTTAGTTTGTAATTTAAAAGACAAAACTCAGATTTTTTTAAAATAAAGAAAATCAGATTATGATTCTGTAACTACCCATGAATTTATAATTATGAGTTATAAAACTGGAAATAGTCTGAAGCATTGGATTGTATTAAAAGCCTGTTGATTAGACTATATCCCCCTCCCCTTCCACAAAATATTGTTATTTTCTTAATTAGCTCACATTTTTCTTTTAGAAGGGATCTTAAAGACCTCAGACAAACCACTTCCTTTTACAGATGCAGAAACTAAGGTCCATTGAGCCTCAGTGGGGCCTGATTGACTTGATGGCAGACTGACCTGGGACTAGACCTTGGGCTTCCTGGCTTTCAGGCCATTGCACTCAGGACTTTGTAGTGTTTGCTGTTTGTAGGAGAGCAGAATTGGGTTTGGGACAGTCAGCAAGAAGTTATTTTACAAGAGCAGAAACACTCCTGCCCTCAAGATGTTCCGGGGGTGGGGGGGGCTGGGGAAGAGAGACAAACATGTACATAACCGGGGTATGTACAGGATGTATGCAGAGCAGTTCAGTGATCTTTGAGGGAAAAGCCTCAGCTGTTGGGAAGGCCTAGGAGAGTCCTCCAACAGAGGATGGCATTGGAGCTGAGTTTTGAAGAAAGCCAGGGAGTCTGAAAGGTGAGAGGGAGGAGGGAAGACCAGTAATACCTTTCAGGAATGAGAGCCAGCAAAGGAATGCAAAGGCTGGGACATGGGAGGGAGTGTTGTGTTGGACGAACAGCAACTGGGCCAGGGGAGCTGGATGGTAGGAATGGGATGTCTGGGAAGGCAGGAAGGGGCCAGGTGATAGAAAATTTCACAAATGACAGACACCTATTACTTCCATTGGAGGTAGTAAAACATGTATTTATTTTTTTCCCTCACCTTTGTAGGTTTTATTTTTGTTAATAATATTTTTCCCCAATTGCTTGTAAAAACCATTTTTAGCATTTGGTTGTTTTTTTTTTAATTTTGAGTTCCAATTTCTTTCCCTCCTTCTCTCACCCTCCCTGAGAGTGTATAATTTGGTATAGGTTATACATGTGCAGTATACGTGTAGTAAAACATATTTCTGTAATAGTCGTTTTGTGAAAGAAAAATCAAACCAAAAAAAAACAGAAATGAAAAATAGTATTCTTGGGTGTTCATTCAGACTCCATCAGCTCTTTCTCTGAAGGTGGATAGCACTTTTCGTCATGAGTCCTTTGAGATTGTTTTGGATCATTGCATTGCTGAGAAGAGCTAAGTCACTCAGTTGGTCACCACGCAATGTTGCTGTGACTGTGTACCATGTTCTCCTGGTTCTGCTCACCTCACTCTGTGTTAGTTCACATAAGTCTTTCCAAAATCATCCCGATTATCGTTTCTTATAGCACAGTAGTGTTCCATTACATTCATGTACCACAACTTGTTCAGCCATTCCCCAAGCAATGGGCATTCCTTCAGTTTCCAATTCTTTGCCACCACAAAAAGAACTGCTATAATACCCTTGTACAAATAGGTCCTTTCCCCTCCTTTTTTAAAATCTCTTTGGGATACAGACATAGATGTGGTACTGCTGAGTCAAAGGGTACACACAGTTTTATAGCTCTTTGGGTATAGTTCCAAATTGCTCTCCAGAATGATTGGCTCAGTTCACAACTCCACCAACAATGCATTAGTGTTCCAATTTCCCCGTCTTCAACATTTATCACTTTCCTT